TTTTTCCTGATCACTATTGCTGCACACCCAGCCTGGTATCTGACAATCAAGCTATGTTCTCTTTCTCTTGTGCCATCACAAGAAATGAAAATTTCACAGGTGAAAGTTTGCAGATCATTCTTTTGATTATGCATGAGCCAGGAAAAGATACAAATATCTGCTATACATTATTATCCTATTAAACACCACTTTAGCTACAAACTCAAACAACTTCCTGGATTTGAATCACTGACAATTTTGCCTCTTGGCAAACAATTTCATGAGTGAATAAAACAATCCTGTGAAGATGAGGGGGCTCTTCTATTCATCTGAGGCATGAGAGGTATTTTAGACGTATTCTGCAAAGACCTGATAAATTATTCCGAGCCTCTCACACTGAAGAAGTCCGGTAGTAATAGCAGTGACATACATAATTAATTATACCCACAGAAACGACATGCCTCCAGAAGAAGTTACTAGGAGCTGCAATCTGACATAGCACCAACTTAGGAGATGTAGTGTACTATAGCTTTCCCACTGCTAGGCACCTCCCTACAGCAAATGGGGAAAAATAAGGAATGTGGAACATATGTTAGAGCAGTGATTCCCAACCTTTTTATACTGAGGACCAGCAAATCCATTTACACACTTTCGGCAGACCAGTAACATTTTATTTGCATATTATCATGCAAATGATGAATATGCAAATAAAACACTGGCATTCTGCCAAAAGCCCAGCTCTCAGACCTCCAATGTCAGCCCTGTCCCCAGAGTCCCACCCATGGAGCCCCCAATTCCTGACCTGCTTTTCTCACCTAGCCACATTGCGGCAGCTGTGGGGGCTGAGGCTGGGATATACCGCTCTCACCATGGCTTCTTATAGTATAGAGGATGACAACTTCCCAGAATCTGAGAAGGGGGCTATTCTGTGGAAGTGCCATTCACTCATAATGTAGATGAAGAAGAGGATGCCAACATAGGATCGGTATGTGGAGTACCAACCAGAAAGGTGTAGTTAAGAACAATAGGGTAAACTCATTGCCTAGTAATAGCCATGCACCGTATGAGGAGCCCACAATACTGTAACATCTTATTCATATTCGCGTCATCCAAAAAGAGAGGGGAAATGATGCTAAATGGCACCAGAGAGTCTGAAGTACCGATTAGGAATTGGGAGAGGGAAAGGGAAGAACTCCAGTAGTTTTGCTGGCAATAAAAAAGCAACTGCAACTTCAGGGAAAAGAAACAGTCCATCACCTCACTGAGTCAGAGTTTGAAGGTCAGATCATCTAGTCCAGTGGTTCTCATCTAGAACAATGTGTACCCCTTCACATGTACAGAGGTCTTCCTGGGAGTACATCAGCTCATCTTTATATCGGCCTAGTTTTTACAACAGGCTACATAAAAAGCACTACTGAATTCAATCCAAACTTAATTTTCATACAATGACTTGTTTATACTGCTCTACATGCTATACACTGAAATACAAGTGCAATATTTAAATTCCAATTGTTTTTTATAAACTATATGGTAAAAATGAGAAAGCAAGCAATTTTTCAGAAATTTTTCAATTGTATAGAAATATAAAAGTGTCATAGAGCACTATGCATGATTTTGTAAGCAAGTAGTATTTAAGTGAGGGGAAACTTGGGGCTTTGCAAATCAAATCAGATTCCTGAAAGGTGTACACTAGTCTGGAAAAATTGAGACACATTAATCTAGTCTGATCACCTGTACATAATAGGCCACCAACAACCATCCAGCCCTCCTGCTACACACACACTAAATCCAACGACTAAAAGTAGAGCAAAGCATACAAAACACAAGAGACTAGATTTATGTGCGACCGACAAAATAAGACAGCCATCCAGTCCTGGACTCCAGAGTCACTATCTCTAGGGATGCCAGCCACTAAGAATCAACAAGCCCCCTTCTTCAATTCCTATCTCCCTATTCCAAGACCTCACACATGAGATAAGTCTGTGCTTCTTGCACCTTTTTTTCATAGCCTTCAACCTGGGTGGCTTGCAAAACAGCTCCTGAAGTGTTCCTCTTCATAAACATTTTTGCCTATGAGTCTAACCTTCATAAACATTTTTGCCTATGAGTCTAACCTCATGGGAGCCCCCCTCTAGCATCAACTCATATTTTCCCTGATTCAACTTCCACTGACTGAACAGATTCTTCTGTTTACCTAAAGGGCCTCTGTCTGAGACTTGTATTCAGTAAGGTCTCCCTGCTCTGGCCAGTTCTATCCAACAGCTCCCATTCACAGCACTCAACAGTTTTCTTTCTATGCCATTTCTCTACCAGTGGCACTCAACTACTGCTCTCTTGGGTCTCATGTAGCTCCCTGCAGACAATGTTCACCTGGTACTCCTTCCTGTTTCCCTCTTTCAACTGCTATTTGGTCTTTAGAGGGCAGATGGCCTCTATCAGACTCCATCAGGAGACAATTGCATGAGATATTTCAAATGAGGCCTTACCAGTGTCTTAGAGAGGTATTATTTTATATCCTCCCCTGTTACAGCTCCTGCAGCAGAGTGCCCTACTGTGGCTAATCACAATGATACGTGGAAGCCCTCCTTCAGTTTCCCCTACAGTCTCCATTGTCAACCGAGTTCCCATCTTGTTCACCACACAATTGATAGTCACCTCTTCTACACAGGAAACGGTTGTTGTCCCGTTAAAGCCCTGCTTCTGAATTTATTTATTAGTATTAAGCAACAATCAACAGACCCCCCAAAAGAAAGACAATTCTCAAAAAAAAAATCAGTATTAATTTTGTTACATAAGTGCCCCATAAATGTATATATCAATATTATTAGGAAGTTTTTTGTATTGTGTCTGCATAAATCTGAGCAGAAATTAAATTGTTACAACTGTTTTAATATGCTACAAAATAGCTTTAAGATCATCTCATTTATTTTTTGTATCATAAGGGGACTCTAAGGAGTCTCTGGCATTTCTCCCTCCCTTCTAAAATAAAAGAAACTATTTTAAATGTGTGAGGTTTTGGGGTTTTTTTTGGGGGGGGGGGAATTAGAGAGGGTTGGTACTGGTTTATTGTGTTGTGAGTTAAGAATATTAGGAAATTATTTCATACTGCAGTAAGTAACTAGGGCTTGTAGAAAAAGCCAGCTAAGAATTTCTGGTAAACCATATTGGTAGTTCATTAACCTTATGAGGGAAAAGGTTATAGGCTATGTCTAGACTACATCCCACTTTCAAAAGAGGGATGTAAATTAGACAGATCAAAATTGCAAATGAAGCCAGGATTTGAATTTCCCACGCTTCATTTGCATTAATGGTGGCCCCACGTTCTTTAGAAAACGGGTATTTCAAAAGTGAAACCACCATCTAGACACAGTTCTTTTGGGGAAAAAAAAACTTTTTTCAAAAGATCCTGTAAACCTCATTTCTTGAGGAATACAGGATCTTTCGAAAAAGGGTTTTTTTTAAAAGAACCGTGTCTAGACGGCAATTTCACTTTCGAAATACCCATTTTCAAAAAAATGCGTGGCCGCCATTATGCAAATGAAGCATGGGAAATTCAAATCATTTGCAATTTTGATCTGTCTAATTTACATCCCTCTTTTGAAAGAGAGATGTAGTCTAGACATGCCCATATTGTTTTAGTTAATAATGTATTAATATTCAGTATTGATTTATTGTTTATGATTTATATGTTTTGTTCACCTACGGCTCAATCCTACAAGGTGTATAAGCATCTGTGTAATCCAATTGAAGTAAATTTAAAATTAAACATGTACTATACCATCTTCTTAGAATAGGGCACATTCCACGAGGAGCCCAGACACTGCCTCATTTCTGAAACATGACAAATATTCATTGTATCTGAATTCTCTATATTGAAGCAATGAAAGGGATCATTAAAATAGTAGTTACAACAGATTGAATTTTGCTAGTCTGGCACCTTCAGTACTTGATCAGTGCTGAACCAGAGAATCTGCCAAACCATGGGAGGTCAATATTGTCTAGCAGCATTACCAACACTTCCACTGCTTTTTGGACTCTTACAAGACGTTTAGGGGTAAATTCGAGCTAAATAATAGCACAGAACACTGACAGCCAGGACTGGAGGCTGTAAACAAACTTTATGGGATCCCAGGAAACTTGGTCACACCCATAATAGGTGGACATCTGGCTAATTAAAATCATGCCAGACCATGGATGTTGCTGGACCAGATAATGCGGCACTAGAGAAGTTGCACCTGTATATTAAATAATCAAGGACAGCCACCAATTGCAATTCCTGTACTACAAATATGTAAGCCTTAGCTTAGTCCTAAGTGGGGGAAAAACTATTAAGAAAATAATTCAAGAGCGCTGTAAGACACAAAATGCAGATGACACGTTAGCAGTTTCTGCATGGGTAGCTTCCAGAGGATGAGTTACTCAGATGGACAATTAAATTAGGAAAGAATAATGAATACAAGGGAAATAGATATATTCCTGGACAGAGTTGGCAGGAAACAAATCCTTCACCAAGGCCCCAACCCATTTAGCCAGGCTGTATGCTGATCAAATTGACAATTTAGTGGGGGAGAAGAAATACAGTGCCTTGTCATACCTCATGTAGTGGAACCACATGAAAACACCTACAGCCATGGAGATGGGGGCAGAACTTGCCCTATGAAGTAAAATTCAGCCTTGTGCATAGGGCCAGCACAAAGCCTATGGACCACTTAAGATTTCAGAGTAGAACTTTAAATGAGATACAAGTGGTGCCTACACCTTATTTTGGTCCTCTACCCAGGGCTGAATTCCATCCTAAGTTAACAGACAAAAGAACAAACTGGACAAGGTTTTCCTTATGTTCTGTGTATGCACACAGTTATGGAAGTTGCCTTCATAGCTTTTTGTCCTTCCCTTAGGCTGTGAAAATGGCTATTTGCCTGACTAACCTAACCCTCTGTCAATTGATATACATTAGTAACTCTTGGTGAGTCAACAGTAGTGGCTCTGGCTAACAACAGTGCTAAGGAGAAGCTGACCTACCTGCTGATGAACTCATACAACAAGCTACTCAGGGCTCTCACAGATGTTAGAACAGTAGCCATATTTCTTCTCTCTTAACAGAAGCAAATTTTGCACACAGTTGAAGTCTGAAAAAAACATGTGGCACCAATACAGTAAGAGTGAACAGGACATGGAGAAAAACATTGCAGACCTACTACTGTACTACTTACCCTCAGTCACACTAGCATTGTACATGGAGTGACTTCGCTCCAGTGATATCTTGCACAGCTGCATACTGAAGCAACAACTAAGAGAGGGAACGTTTTGCTGAACAATATACTGTCTGCTTATTTTTGACTAGGGAACTGAATCAGTTACCACACTGTATTGTAGACATTATTTAACCTTTATGGAAATATTTTAACTGTCTAGAATTTGAGGAGTTTGTGCCAATGAGCTGATTTTAAGACACACTGTAACTGAAGTACTGGGAATCTTGAAAAAATTTATACAGCCTGAAAAATCATTGATTCTCAGTTGTACACCTGGGGAACACTGTTTGAAACAGTTAAAAAGTTGCTATTAATTTTTTTTAATGGGCTCATGTTCCTGTTACATTCACTTCTCACAAATATTCTGGCAAATGAGTTTGATTGTACGGATGGTCACCGAAACCATGAATTCTAAGCAAATAATGAAAAAGTGTGGAGAATGAATCTGGAATGTGTAATGCCATAGGTTCTAAAATCTAATTCTAAGAGTTGTACTCTTCAATGCCTGGCCCAAAGCCCACTGAAGTCAATGGGAGTATTTCTATTGACTACAATAGGCTTAGGAACATGTTACTTACATCATTTTTTTATTATTTATTTATTTATTTATATTGCAGTAGTAACAAGGTGCCACTGTCACGGATCAGGATCCCACTGTGCTAGGCACTGTGCATTTTGAATACAATACTCATGACAAATTACTTCTGAGCACACTGCAAGCCAAGAAATTTTGCAGAATTTGGTGGCTTCCAAATGATGAATACATTCTAGAAAGTCACAGACAGAAGGACACAAAAGTCACAGAATAAATATGGTTATGAATTATTTCCACATCTATACTCAGTAGGTATTTCAGGGTCAACCTGCTTTGGATGAGTTTGATTTGTTTAACAAGTGTCCTTTCACATATTAAGCAGTACAATAAAAAGTGTTATACCTAATAAGAAATTAAACTGGTTATTTTATTGTTTCAAATACTAAGAGATTTTCAGCAATCATGTCTCCATGGTATACCTTTTAATAGATTCAGATCATCAAATTATTTTTTAATAAAATGAGATATCTAATGTGCAACAGCTGCAAAAAGGAATCGTGTATTTCCCCAATACTGTAAGAGGTCAGTACCTTCAGGGCTTTAGTCATGATAAAGAACATACTATGTATCAGTTAAGCGTGATACAGAAGTTAAACCATAAATTCAATGCAAAGGGATGCTTTAGTATTGGAAGCGTTCCTACCTCTATTATCAAAGCCTGAAAAGCAAACTTTACCATTGAAATTATAAAATTTTGAGATGACAAACATTCCTTTTAAAAATAAGGTGGAACATTAGATATCAGCTAAACAAAAGACACTGTCATTTTAAAATCAAAACATTTCGGGAGAAAAATTAAATGGAAACTAATTTACTACATATGTTTTATACATACAATACATAAGGGGGTTTCTACAACAACATATGGAAAGTATCTAAACTAGTAAGACAATGACCTCCATAAATCATTCTAGGTTCCAGCTCCAAATTATGTCTTGTTCCCCCGCTCGTGGGATACTCACTGTATCTCATACACATTCATTGTATGTGCATAGTAATCCATTTCTACCTTTATGAGGAATGATGTCATGAAAACACTCTAAGGGTAAGTAAAATGAAAATTAAACAGTTTTTACATAACTGCTAGCGGGATCCCCCCCACTCCACACACACACACACACACACACACACACACACACACACACACACACACACACAACTCTATCACTTCCCTTTACATTATATATCCAGGAGATATACTTTGGAAAAATAGTCTAGATTTTATTTAGGCAGTGGATGTCTGTATGATGTGGTAACCAAGTGTCTCACTGTGCAGAAATCTTGATTAATAGATTCATTCCATATCTACTAAAAATACAGCACGTCCAAGCAAGTTTAAAAGGTGTTCACTACAGCGACAGTACACACACAAAGGCTTATGGTCCACCTAAAGTTAGAATGTGGTCCCACATACAGAAGATATACACTGACTTTCCAAATTCTCAAATAATGACCTTAACTAATATGACTTTGCCTAATTTCTTAAAGCTAATAAAATGTGAAAGCTCATCTTGATGCTTTCAAAGATTCCATGATGTAAATTCTCCACATAGATGTTCTCCACCTTTTTGAAATCCTCTTTAATCAGAAATGCTAACAGTAGCTAAAAAAAATCTTTCATTTTGTGACTTATCTAATTTCCACTTATTGAAAAGACCTATAAATTGAAGAGATACCCACCTTTCTCCATTTTTTTATTTTAAAAAAACAGAAAGATCTCCTTCCCTACTAAATTCTGTAGAATTTTAGAAGTAATTTGTGTAGAACAGTATTCAATACCTGCAAGGTCTGATGCCTTAATCCCTATAAAATTCCATACAATTTGTTCTATAAATGATTTTGACTACTTTAATACAGTCACTAATTTTGTAATTGTATAAACTCGCTCATTTTCTTTTTTTGCAGTAACTTCCAAAGGCTTTAATGAGGTTAAACCTCGCCCCCCATCCCATGCTAGGTGCTGTACAAACACACCAAAAGTCATGGTTTCTATCCTGCAGTGATCATAATCTAACAAAGACATAAACCAGATGAAAGAAATGTAGGAGCAGGAACATGTAGGATTACAGTGTCAGTGAAAAGAATGTTACCTGCCTTGCTAGTTCTATTTAATTATTAATATTTAGTCCTTGTCTAATGCTTTCTGAAGTTATTTTAACCCATGTTCTTGAATTCTAAGTTTCTTGACTTTTACTGAAAAAAAAAATCACTGAAAATTATTAAACAGAACTTCAAAAATTAGTCTCAGGTCAGCAAGCAAAAGACCTTAGTGGCCAAACTGGGATGCAAGCTCTGTATTTTAATTATAATACTTCTAGCTGTTTGCTGGCACTAGTTTTTAGTACGTCAGTTGATGTTTGCAAACCTGTTCAGTTTATCTACAGTTTAAAACTGCTTGTTTCCAGTCAATAAATGTAAACTTTCCCTTGTTTATTTTTGTCTAGTGCTCTCTTCCCCTCTAATAACCTGTATAGAACTGACCATTCCTATACTTAACACAAATACATATCTGTCATAGCTGTAAACAGAACAAAAGTAACACAAGTAGTACAGGAATAAAAATAGAGAACTATAGAACATTTAACAAGACAGACTGCTAAATTGTTATTAATATCTCAATAGCACCCACAAAGACAGGGCTGGGCAATAATTTTTTCACCAGAGGCCACTTCAGAAATTTTTTAAGTGGCCCCAGGTTGTGCTTCCGCACCAACAGACTGATAGGTCTGGGGGTGGAGGAGCTCATGAAGTCTTTGCCCTGCCCCCAGATGTAACTGCCAGCTGTTCTGTGCCGTTGGCGGTGGGAGGAGACTTCATGTTCTCTCCCCTGCTGCCCCCAGGTCAATCAGGGCCTGGGGAGGGGGAGCATGTGAAATCTTTCACTCCCTGCTTTACCCCTTCAAGGAACCACTGTGCTTAGAGCAGGGCTACTTAACATGCAGCCCATGGTCCAGTTGTTTGCAGCCCACAGTGAGGTTTATATTCATATGTGTTTTAGTAGTTAAATTCCTGGACTGTTGTGAAGCCAAACAAAAAAGTAATCAATGGTCTTCTGTTGATAAACATTTTAGTAGTTAGATTCCTGGACTATCATTGCTCATTAAAAGTGCTGTCATATAGGTGGAAATCGGGTAAATATTGCATTTCATTAATATCAGCAGAACTGACTTAAATGGGGCCTGCATGTTATATACTCTTGCCTTAATTTTTGTATTCATGCCCATCAGTGTGAAAGAAGCTATTTGCATATATTTGCATATATATATAAGAAGCTATTCCCATATAAACTCTGTGGGAGTTTTGGTTTGCCAGCTCCCAGTATCAAAAGGGGAAGGGTCCATGAGAAATCAGGGCCCTGAGACTGACTGACCCCAGAGACAATGGAAAGCAGCCAACACTCCAGCTCAGTCTGACTGACAGGTTGGACAGGCCAGTGAGGAAAGCAAGAGGCCAGGCCCCGTCCTCCCTGTGAGCTGGGATTGTTCTGGGTTTCTCTGAGCAAGGAGAGATCTGAGAGACAGCTAAGAGCCGTGCAAGCTGTGTGCAGAAGAAGTCCTGCAGCAACAGAGCCAGGCACACACAGCCCAAGGAGTGCAAGCTATGCTGAGGGGCAGTTCTGCAGCAACAGAGCCAGGCACACACAGCTCAAAGAGCACAGACCCTGTGTTGAGCAGCAGACTGGCAGTGCTCAGAGAAGCCAAAAGGGACAGAGAAGCAACGCAAGGAGCTGAAGTCTGACAAGGCAGCACAGCCTACAGCTGGGTGTGGTGAGCAGCTGGGACCAGCAAAGTGCAGGGAGAGGCTCTGGGCAGGGAGATATCACCAGCCAAGAGGCCCAGCAGGCCAGACTGGGAGAGGGGTCTGGCCACTTAGAGCTTGAGGCTGTGTGGTCACTGCCAGATCTGGCCACTTAGAGCTTGAGGCTTTGTGGTCACTGCCAGAGCAAGCGTGTCCAGCCTGCAGCCCCCCTGCAGCACATCCAGGGCCTCTAAGGGGCCTATAAGGAAGAGACTGTGGACTGTCCTTACACTCTGCAGGCTGCTGTTTTGATGTCCCTGTGCTACAGAGCAGGGCTGTGTGTTCTCATTTAACCATTCTCATTTTTTTCTTATTCTTTTCTCTTTAATCAGTTGATGTTTAATAAATTGTATTTGCTTTGAACCTTATGAAATGATCACTGGGCCAAGAAGGCCTGCAGTGTGAAGAGAGCACCTTGGAGTGGGGACACCCTAACTCCTGCCCCTAGTGACTACAAGGTTGGGGATTAAGCCCCAGGAAA